CCGTTAAACAATCAAATTAAAATGCACCTCAAAAATTCCCTAGTGGTTGTTTAGATGATAAATAGCCCTCAATTCATTTATCTCGGCCTCAAGATGTATGGACTTGAAAAGAAAATGGATTTCAAGTCATGGAAATAATGCATCTCGTAATGTACCATCTAGGCCATTATTTTCAAAATGTTCAAGTGTTCATAGATATGCTTGGTCTACACTACTTTTTAATCTTAAAATTTTGTAATTAGAGATGAAAATAAATTTTCAGGCCATCACAATGATTTTTCATACTAAAACAACATGTTGCTAATTCTTCTTCTAAAACTATACAAATAAAAATACAATAGAATAGAATTAAAAATATAATTAAATATTTCTATCTATTAAATATTTCAGACTAGAAAAAATATTCTATTATGCTAAACTCTTTTCAAGAAGTTTTATTAAAAAATACATTCAAAATACAAATAACAAATGAATAAAATTAATTATTTTATATAAATTATATTATACTAATAAAAATTAAGAACTTAAATAATAATAATGGAAACGTCTTAAAAACACCTATAGGCGATTTTGAACAGTGTTTCGCCCTCCATGACAGTTTATTGAACGAATCCACAACAAACGGCACCACGTTTGTGGCGATACCGCGTGTTTTTTTTACCGCTGTAGTCTTTTAATTCTTGTTGTTTGAAAAAATCGGACGGCACCGAGCCTATAGACGAAATAAATTGTAACATTTCGTCTATAAGTATTGTGTAGTGGCTTTCTATGATATAATAAAACTCGATTTTTCTAATACCCACCCGTTAGCTTAAGAAGTTGAGTTGTCCAGCACTGTAATAACTCAAGTCTCTGTATATACTTGGTGTTACGGAGAAGTTGGGATGCTCAAGAACCACAATGTGATGCTGCTCCGCAAATTTGGAGGAGGGTTGTGACTATGTGATATAAAAAGTTCGACCCAGAAAAGGAGCTGGGTCGGGTCGGGTCGGGTCGTAGCATCTCCAGGTGCAGTTACTGCCTCGTGTGATATGTTCAATTAACACCTTGAAAATGTGACTCTAATCTATTGAAAGAACGGGTAAGGGCCTCTCTTCCACCCACTGAATTACCGACCCAAAAAAAAAAAACGATGGACCCCGTCTTTCTCTCTCTTATATAAAGGTCGAATTCTTCTCTCTCCTCTCTCCACAAAATCTCCTCAGTTTTATATTTTCTTCCCTTCCTCTTCTCACTCCCCAATTTCTCCTGAGTTTCTTATTTTCTTCCCTTTCCAACTCTTCCCCATTGTTTGCATTCCATGCAAGATAGACTCGCGGTAAGTTCCTGCTTCCTACCATTGCTTTATTACTCTCTCTCTCTCTCTAAAACATTGGTTGTATTACTCTCTCTCTCTAAAACATTGGTTGTATTACTCTCTCTCTTAACCAGGTGGGAAAATATCTTTGCTGTATTGTCGTACTCTGGGCTCCCTTAAAATGGTGGTCTCCTCCAAGTTGCCTGATTCCCCTGCATCTGCTAAATTTGGCCGCATTAGTTTTATACAAATTTCTCCGATAAATTATTAATACATAAAAACCCATTTCTTGAAAACTTTGGATATCCTGAGAGTTTGTTCAGTCCTAAACATCTCTAGATTTAGTGGATTTTCTCCAATTTGCAGTTCTCTGCCTTTAGATTTAGTGGTTTCTCCATTGGCTGTAACCTCCTAGATCTGCTACATTTAGCCCTAGTTTCAGTGTTATTCTTCCATGAAACCAATCTCACGAAACCAGGAGATATCGTCACAGTCTCGTCTAACCTTGCCTTCCTCTAAATGTATCTACTTCCTTCAAACCTGCAACATTCGTGCCCACCTTCTGAGTTTTGCCCGTGTTTCAGATCCATTTCTCTGTTAAACCATCAATCGTTGAGAACCCATCTCCCAAAAACGATCAATCCTCTTCGAATTCTCTTCTAATTCAATTCTGGTTCAGATTTAGTGAGGCTCTTTCAGAACCCAACAATGGCTACCTCTAAATTTGAGGGATCAAAGCAATACTATGCGACAAGTAGCTTGGTTGTAGGTTATGCTCTATGTTCGAGCTTACTTGCTGTCATTAACAAGTATGCCATTACTGAATTCAATTTCCCTGGTCTATTAACTGCATTGCAATACCTCACCTCTGCTTTGGGTGTATGGGTTTTGGGGAAATTAGGGTTTCTTCACCATGATCCCTTCTCGTTTGAAACTGCGAAGAAGTTCTTTCCTGCTGCTACTGTGTTTTACCTTGCAATTTTCACAAACACCAACCTTCTACGACATGCTAATGTCGATACCTTCATTGTGTTTAGGTCTCTCACTCCCCTTCTTGTTGCCATTGCTGATACCACCTTTAGGAGGCAGCCATGTCCGTCAAAGCTCACTTTCACTTCTCTTGTTATTATCTTGGCTGGTGCAATTGGGTATGTAGCCACTGATTCAGCTTTCACATTGACTGCTTATTCTTGGGCATTTGCTTATTTGATAACCATCACTACTGAGATGGTCTATATCAAGCACATTGTTACCAATTTAGGTTTGAACACTTGGGGCTTTGTCTTTTACAATAATCTCTTATCTTTAGTTATGGCTCCCTTCTTTTGGTTTATCACTGGGGAGTATATTGAAGTTTTTACAGCGGCTCAAGGATCTAATTCTGGCTCTTGGGTTGAGTCAGGGGCCTTTTTCGCAGTTGGGTTGTCTTGTGTTTTTGGTTTAGCTATAAGTTTCTTTGGATTTGCAGCGAGGAAGGCTATTTCAGCGACTGCGTTTACGGTCACCGGTGTCGTGAATAAGTTTCTCACGGTTGCCATTAATGTGTCGATTTGGGATAGGCATGCTAATCTATTTGGTCTTGTTAGCTTGCTTTTTACCATTTTGGGGGGAGTTTTATATCAGCAGTCAGTGACTAAGGGCCCCCCATCTCAGCATGAGTCAATGGGGATGAAGCAATCAGTTGGTATGGATGGTGATTCTTCGAGCACAGATCAAGGAAAGGGATTATTGGGTAAACTTTCTAATGTGTGAGTAATGGGGTGAGGGTGATCTGCTTGACGAGGAAAGAATTTTAGGCTATTTTAGGGAGTCAATGATCAAGTCTTGTGTGGCGTAATGGATATTTTGCTTCTAGGACTAGTTTGCACTGCTGCATAAGGGTGTGTTTTTGTATCACTAATGCCCTCTCCCTTGATCATTGACATTGTCGAGAGAACAATTGTCATAGATAATCTAGTATTTTGGTTGGCTTATTTGTTCTTTGAATTATTCTTTTGCCGTTTAAAGTTTTAAACAATATATTGATACTTGTCCTAATGATATTGGGGTTCCTCTGCATTTGTCTTGTGGATGCTGCTGGGAATGTCGATATGTTCCAAGTGAATAGCTTATATCTTTTGATGTGGACAAAGTGAGACTAAATATAATGTGTCCACGATTGATAACATGCAGGCTTGGATTTTACTGTAGTCTTGGAATAGAACTTGATGCATATGTAAGTATGAGCCAAAAGTTGAAAACGTACAACCTGAGCTTTTTTTAATGCATAGTTCAGAAATTCCTATTTACTTGGAAGTGTTGGTTCACTTGTTGATGAGTCTGAACTTCGTTAGTCTTTTCCATACCTATCGTTGTCATCTGGTTGACATTTCTTAGTTTCTGATGTGCAATGCTTCAAGGGGTTCTTTTAAATGAAGTTTTATTTTCTGTCTAAACCCTTATCAACTTCTCTAGAGTCACAAAAATACTGAAGCTCTGGATTTTTCAAATAAAAATCTTTCCTGAGTCATTGCTTGAATGAGTCATTGTATGCAACTTTCTTACATCCCTTATTCTTTGATCATTTGGAAATAAGGTAGTAGAATAAGGTATGGGTTTTCGTTGCAATGCAACAAATGGGCTTGTAGTATCAAGCTATGGATTATTCTCAGCTTTTGAGACTTTTTTTTCATCTTCTTTCATCCCTGATGTTTTAAGTTTCGAACAGGGATGCTAGGCATGGCTAGGTACAACATGGTAGAATCTTACACTTACAAGCCATCTCTAGAATGCTGCAGTTGTTCATATATTAGTTTTTTAACCTTCTGGAACAATTCTAGGCTGAATCGTCATTTGTCGTCTTAGGATTAATTCTAGGTCCTCATTTCAATTAGTTACAATTGGGTTTGTCAATTTACTTGACAGGTGCACATGTTTCTTATAGTTTTAAATACTTGACGGAAACTTGTGTTCATAAATACTTGATGGGAGCTTGTGTTTCTTTGCACTTCAAATTAGCTTTATTCATACCCTTTGAAACTAAGGGTTACATTCTCCGCAGAGAGCAAAGTGTTCCACAAAATTGACCTTTTGGTCACCCTATAAATGGTAATGGATAAGGCTCAAGATACAATTTCTTCCACAAAAACATACCCTGAGTGTGGAGATGAAAGACGATAGGAAGCCTCAGCATTGACTGCTGTGCTATAGAAGTAGGGGACCAAGTTTCAGGCAGTGGTTCTCATGCATGATTTGGGATGGAAGCACTGGTGATGTCTTGCAGTGTTGGAATTGTGAGCAAAAATTCTATTCATTTTACATCACCATTTGGGAATTGAGTGAAATGATTCAAAGTGTGCCAGGATTATACAGAGGTGCATATTCTGCATGCAGTCAGAAAAAATGTTGAGCTTGTACTATTAACCATGTCTCCGTTGCCAATGACTGCATACACTCCTAAGATATCACTGAAGTCGATGCTGTTTGCAGTCGAATCGTGAGAGGAAATGATGCATTGAATCGTTGGTAATGTCAATGTTCAGTCTCGATTTTAAACCTCAAGCATGAGCTGTGCCATACCCTCCCATGAAGTGCTAAAAGACTCACTAGATCGACTCAAGAGTCATCGGAATTGACCTGGTTCAAAACCCACGAAATTCATGAAGAAACCTCAGAATCTCCCCTGCTTTTCTCTACTTTCAGTTAGTAAATCACCAGTCTGACGGTGACTGCTTTCACGCCAATGGATTTCTAATTAGATGTGAATTATCCATCATTCAAGAGTCACCCCTTTTCTCTCTACTCAACAGGAGTATTTTTACGTGGACTTGACACAAGGATATAATGTTCAAAGACACAACATGGATCGTGTCCGATGTCTTATTAAACAGTGTCTATAATAAGGCACTTTCGTACACTTATTTTTTTTGTGTGAATAGACTTGAGGCATAGGTGGTGGGTGTAACAAAAATAATGTCTTGAGTTGTATTTTTATTATGAATGAGGGGATCCTTTTTCCACTTATTTTTCCCTTAAAATAAAAATTTATTTTAAATAAAATTATACTTCTCTACTTATAAATATAAATATTATTTCATTTCTTCACTCACAAGAGCATTGCTCCTGTACCACCAAGTTCGAAGCCAAGGTGTCATGACACTAGTCCAAAAAGTGAAGTATTAAACATTTTATCAGTTGCTGCATATGGCAGTGTTAAAATGTGTTGCAGACCAAGAGTGAATTATAGGGTTAACATTGGGAATTGCAATTGCAATGGTATTTTGGTTATTTTATTTTATTTGAATTATTATTTTTTAAGAGGCGCATCTCTTTCAAAAGCGTGCAAGCTCTAATTTTCAGGTTAATTTGATTATAAGAGAAATAACTAACCTATACTAATGTCATCGTTAGGTGGCAAGGTATTAAGCAAAGGAAAATTTTAAAATTTTAAAATTGATTTATTTTTTCGTATTCATGATCTCCGTGTTAGAGATCAATGCCCTTAAAAATTAAGTCAAAAAAATCCATCTCAAGAATAGATTTTTAAGAGGTGACTAATTTATTTATGGATTAATAGAAACGGTGTCCTTGAGCAAAAAGCTCATGAACATGCACTAAATTGCGGGCAAGCACGAGTGCTGTCCTCCCTGATGGCCATCGGTCGTGTAGGGACTTATTTTCATGTTAAATATCGTTCTTCTATGAAATATCTTATAAATATATTTCATTATAATTTATAATATAGATATTAATATTAGGGATGAGCATGCATGAATGTGATACATCAATGTCACCAATCTTCAACCATTCTATTCCCTCTTCCAAAAAAAATCCTAAAGAGAAAAAAAATTCAAATTGAAGAGAGGATATAAGATAAAGATGCTGAGGAGACTAGAGGGTATTTTGAATAGAGGATAGAGCAAATATGCTCATTTGAATAGAGAACTGAGATTTGAAAAAGAAGTCAAAGAATAAAAGGGTGTGGATTGTATAATGTTGCAACCTTAAACAATCAAATTAAGGTGCACCTCTTATTATAAATATAATTTTAGTGTAAAAAATTCTTAGGATGGATTGAGAATCTATTTTTATCTCAAATTATACAATCTTAAACTCCAAAAATGGTTCAAATCAAATAGATCTATAAATGATTGAAAATTTTGAAAATGGATGGTCCAAATAATGTGTTTTAAGATATATTATTTTTAAAACTTAAAATCTTTTTTTCTTTTCATATTCATGTATCTTGAAGTCGAGATGACCAATTAAAGGGTTTTTCAACATTAAGACATGGGTGTTTGAGGGACAACTTGATTCTACATTTTAAAGTTGCAACCTCGTATCAACTTTTTCTTAGAAGAAAAAGGAGCTTAGCACAAAGCAAAGAATACTAAACAACAAGCCAGGGATGTATAATTTTATAAAAAGAAATTAAAAAAAAAAAGAAAGAAACTCTAATCCATATCACTTAACAATGCCTTGAACTTGAACCACGCATCCTTAAGTCCCATAAATTCTCCATTCTAAACAGTTAATGGATATTCTCTACTATGATTTAAATGTAATGTGATAAAGTGATATTTTACATTTTTGATAAATTATTTCTTACTCTTCTTTTCCTTACTGTAATATTTCTTCCTCTTTAATAACTTTAACTTGGCCAGCCACAGTAAAATATCCCAACAAATTGTGCCCTTTCTTTGATACCATGTTAAAATTCAAGCACCAGAGAGAAAATAAATATATTATTAACCAGAAACTACTCAGAAACTATTTTATAATTAGTTAATAAAATTCAAGCACCAGAAACTACTCAGAAACTATTTTATAATTATTAACCAGAAACTACTCAGAAACTATTTTATAATTATTAACCAGAAACTACTCAGAAACTATTTTATAATTAATTAATAAAATAGTCAGAAATTAAAATATTCTAAAGTATATGCCCTAAGATAGAAACTACTCAGAAACTATTTTATAATTATTAACCAGAAACTACTCGGAAACTATTTTATAATTAATTAATAATTATTTTATAATTATTAACCAGAGACTACACAGAAACTATTTTATAATTATTAACCAGAGACTACTCAGAAACTATTTTATAATTATTAACCAGAAACTACTCAGAAACTATTTTATAATTAACTAATAGAAAGGATTGAGAGTTTTCAAGGCCTCACAGCTTTTGATGGGTCCTAAAACCAGCCTTAATGGCATAGTTTATGGCTCCTAAAACCAGCCTTAATGGCATAGTTTATCATTGGTTCTTGCCCCAGGGAATTTTAAGTATTTTTACATTGATTCTAGGATTTGGCACCTTGAAATCATCCAAAATGAGATGCTCGAGCGTTCATGTTCTTGCCTATCAGGCAGAATTTCGACCGCGGTCCTGCAGGATCACCATGCCATTTTGACCCTGGATTAGTCCTCATGAACTATGCGATTGATTTTAATGTTTTATGCTTTGAACCAACTCTTTTTTGTTTTGTTTTGCTTTTATGAGGAGTTCAGTGATAAGAATCCAATTTAGGATGTAGTACTGCTAATCATCAGTTGCTAACCACTCAGGCCCAAGCTCGATTCCTTAAAACCGACTTGTCACGGTCAAATTTGACTTTGGACCTATGCCTTAGCAAATCGAGCTACATTTTAGTCGAGATATTAAAAGTAAGGGTAGATTTTAGATATTATAAGTAAGGGTGGCAATGGACCCATTTAGACTCGGGAACAGACGGGTATACCCAACCTTTGGTTTGGGTATGGGTCCAAATTTTGGACCCGAGTACTATTCGGTTCTGGCTCTGGGTTAAGCCGAACCCGACCCGTACCCTAGTCATAGGGTATATGATGGCAATCATGTGTCTTTAAGCCTGCAATAGGTGTTCTTATTGTTATAATATTGAGAACATTTATAGTATTATTGTAAAAAAAAGAAGTGATACATTATAGTTTAAAAAAAAGATAAAAAAAATAAAAAATAAGCTCATAAACATTGGGTGGCAATGGATCCAACCAGGCTCCAAGGCCCGATAGGTAGACCCGAGACTACACGAGTCGGGGTCCAACCGTACCCGTCCTGTTGCCACCCCTATTTATAAGTTCATGCACCGAATGGATCTGAAACTCCATCATCTTTGAGCCTTTGGTCATTATACCTCTATGTTACTACCCAAAAGCCCATTATGAGATGTAGTCTCAGCCTACTAGGCTACATTGAATGCTCACTAAGCCATTTTAAGTAACGGGCTGCATTTTGAAAATGTATATAGTGATACCATTTACTTTTAGTACAAGGATGTCACAATTATTGTTGACCGTTAGATGTGAAATTGAGTGGATAAGGATGTGTCAATGATTGGGCATCAAGTTTCAAATAAAAATTTTCAAATGTTATGATACACTTTAATATGTAGGATTTTACATCCAATGATTGAGAATAATTGTGATCTCTTTATACTAAAAATGAAAGTTTTATAACATAGAATGGCACATTTTTCTTTCCAGTGGTCCCTTCGACCTTTTTAAGCCAAATCTTGTATTATGATCTTAGCCATGGCTTGCTCAATGAGCTGTTTTACGATAGTGGTTCGTACTCACCTTTTAAGCCAAATCATTAAATTAAATAAATGCAATTAAATTTTAATTCTATTAATCTAAATAAATAAAATATAACTAATAATGGATACTAAAAGTAAATATTATTACTAATATAATAAATATTAACAGAACAAAAATCTATAATAATAGATAGAACAATAAATACAACTAAATAATACTATCATATGTACATACGATATGTATGGGATTAACCACTTCAATGGGATCTTTCATCCTAGTCGGAAAAGAAATTACCACTACTTCCTTATGTTTGGCGCCATGAGTTTTTATTTTTACTCGGTAAAAAAGATAAAACTATGCCTTTGCTTTATGAAAGATGAATCCAATAAAAAATAACCAGAAATGAATATAAAATAAGGTTTTATGCCTCAAAACTAAGCTCAAATTGATCCTAGAGCCGTTTGACCACGGATCTCAATCATTAAGTAACTGGTTCACAACTTCGAGTTTTGAATTGATCTCTCGGTCATTTAAAAAAATAAAAAAGAAAGAAAATAAGGAAAGATAAGAAAAGGGATATAGACATAATTTATCAAATGGAAGTAATTTAGAAAAATAAAAGATAAGAAAAGGGACATAGACATGAAATATGAAATATTGGAGATATTTTTTTAATTTCTCAAATTACAGGTTATATTAGCATAAATTTTCTTATTTTTATCCTAATTTTTTTTAAAAAAATAATTTATAGAATAACATTAATAAAGTGGTTACCTTACTTCGAACATTTCATTGAAGTACCTCCTTAGTTTTTATTTGCCTGTTTTGGGAAAGGTTCCTATGCTTTTTCTACAACATATAAGTACTATCCTCCCCTTACCATCCAGCCGTTCAATTTTGATAAAGAGAGCCACTCACCATTTGATCTTAGATCCCACTTCTCAAAGTATTTTATTTTTAGTTTTTTTTATAAAAATTGTATGAATATGAAATTTGGTACGTGCCATCTTCTCATTGAGGCGCACTTATAAAAAAATATTAAAAATAAAAAGGAAGATAGAACTTCTATGCCGGAGGGTATTTTGGTTTTGTTTTTATCGTATCAAAACGCTTGCGAATTTGGTCGAACGAGGAACTGGTTTTGAGGGTTACCAATGCATTTCCCCCTCAAACTTCCAAGTAAATCCACAGATATCAAGATGTGAAAAGACTTGTTACTCCCCTAGGAGCATACTGTTAATTTGCTCCCTCTAAAACCTAGCCCGAAGTGCAATTTTAGGATCCCAAACTTTGGGGATCCATATAACCTATTGAACCTAACCATCTAGCTCAACAAAATTCCAAACTGCTTAATAAACATTCTTGAAAGCAATAACCTCAAAAGATCAAATAGGGAACGTCCAATTTTGAAGGGCAAGATCTGAGGTATTGAATAACTCAAAAATTTAATTTCAATTTTGAAAATAGTCATTTATGATTCTTAAGAGGATCCCAATTTTTAGATTAAAACATCCTTCTTAATAACTCTTTTACCCGAGGGAGTTGACATACAATATGATCCCTCGGGAGCATTCTCTACCCAATGGACTGATTTCTCTTGACATTTTTAGTTCACAAGTAATCCTCAGGGTTTCTGAAATTTCAAAATAACAATCCAATAAATCCTTAAAAGCAACAATCCAATAAATCCCAAGCCACTTAAAAATTTGAGAGCATTTCTAAAACTACCGGTAATTTCAGACGAGCCATTTCTTTTTCTTTTTTGTTCTTTATAAACGCATAATGATGTTTTGATTGGGCACAGGTGAAAGGAAAATCAACAATGGCTTCCATGCTTCTTTCTACCTCCTCATCTAAGCTCTGGTTTCCTTCTCCTATCTATAATTCATGTAAGAATTCCTCACCTTTTCCCTTTAAATCCCTGAATTTAACATTTTTAGCAGGGGGAGTTTGTCAGATGGCTCTTAGATTATCAAATTGTAGGGTTTCTTTTTACCCATTTGGTTATTTGTTCTGCAACTCTACTTTTAGTCCTTCTAAAAAACCTTGTGGAAATGGTCACGGAGATTATTTAGTGATCGGTTGCAGTTGGAGATAAGGTTTTGGCTTTATGGACTGTAAATTAGATTTGATGAATTTTTTGGGTAAATAATTTGATTGGATGAATTGGTGATTGATTTATAATTTTCGTATATATATATATATATTATTTATTTATTTATTCATTTCATGAAAAATTTGTTGAAAATTTGGGAAAACCTTCCTCATTTAAAATAAAATCATGGATATATGCTGCTAACGATACGAATATTCTGTTTTTTTTTTATGATTTCTTTGAGTATTCTTTTGTTTCTAATATCTTGATTATGTTTTGATTTGGGGCATGGATTTTGAAATCATTTAAGAATACCATGGATTTATGCTGATGACATTGAATTTTCTACATATATAACATTTATACAATTAGTTTGCATGTGGTAGATTCTTGATATGCATTTATTATTTTAGAATTTGTCCATTTAACTTTTTGGGAAATTAACAGAAATGGCCATTTAGTTTTGGGATATTTAAATAAGGGTGCGGTTTGTATAGAGCCGAGGCTCTAAACAATCAAATTAGAGCCCACCTTCAAATAGTGTCCAGAAATATGGTTTTCATACTGAAAATTTTTGTGATAGCCTTAAAATACATTTTCATCTTTAATTATAAAATTTAAAGCTTAAAAAATAGTGTATATCTAGCATATCTATGAAAAGTTCAAAATCTTAAAAATTAATGGTCCAAAAATGTGTTACAAAATACTCTATTTCCTAAACTTGAAATCTATTTTGTTCTCATGTCCATGCATCTTGATGTCAAGATGATCAAGTTGATGATATTTGGTCATCAAAACAACCTCTTCTAGTGAAAGTTTTGAGGTAGGCTCTAATTTGATTGTTTAGATCCTAGGCTCTATATGAACTTTTCCCTTTAAAGTAATATTTCCAAATTTTATAATTTTACTTACCTCTTTCTCCCCTTTTCGTGATTTACTTCCGAAGTTCTGAACCAACTTATATGCTTTACTGCCTTTTTGTCAGGGAAAATTGTTTCATCGGCGGGTACCGTGTTTCTACAGTACCCGAGGTATAAAGCATTCATCTTAAAGATGGATGCAAATAGGTGGTCCATCTGAAAGCAATTGAAACTAATGGTCCAAATGTTTTATTAATAGAATTATTAATTTTTAATTTTCAAAATTTATTTATAATTTTCATATTCATGATCTCTATGTTAGCGATTACATGTCTTTAAAAATTAAGTCCAAAAATCCATCTCAAAAATTAAAATTTAAGAGTGACTCATTTCTACATGGACTCATAGAAACCGTGTCCCTTTGTCAGTTCAGAACTCGAACTTCTGAATAAATTTTTTGTTTAAAAATTGTGTCCCAAACTTAGATTTTAAACAAAAACTTTTCTTGGAACTCTTAAGTAGTGAATATAAAGTTTCAAAAGAAAAAAACTATGTTTGAAACTTGGAGTTCCGAACATGAAATTAAAAAAGAAAAAAAAAGAATAAAATAGAAAATGTTTGGAACTTAAGGGTTTTGAACAGAAAGTGAAAACAAAAACTTTGTTAAGATCTAAGGTTGGAACTCTTGAGAATGTAATTTTTAAAGGAAAAATTCATTTGGAAGTTTGAGTTCCGAACCAACAAAAAGCCATTAAGGCAAGCAAGTCAGTTGGAAGTTGGAGTTCTGAACCAAGGGTATTTTAAGGATAAATAGATAAGAGAAAAAAGGGTGATGTTGCAAAATTAAAAGAATATTTACATTAATTTCCCAAATTTTTCTTTTAGTAGCATTCATCTAAAATGCATATACTGATTTCCAGAAGAATTTTTGGGGAGTGTAGAAATTCGGCAAATTTCCTTGCTATATGGTGAAACTTTATATTTGAACACTTCCCAAGGTGTTACACCTATCCATTTTTGACACTTTGTTGCACTAATTTGATGAGTGCACTATTTTTTGGAGGTTATCTTTCTTAATTTTTAAAAGTGCTATGATGTGCATGTAAATAAAGTGCATTTTGTGTGTGACTTTTGCCTTTGAGGAATCTTGGGGAGCATTAAACATCAAATGTGGGAAAATTTTCAATGGAACTGCTGTACTTGAGAGAATGAGCTTCATTATTTGAGCGGAATTTAGATTCTAAAGTGTGCATTGTTGCATCTCAGCCTCCAGGTCGATGAGCATGTCTGGTGACTTGATTACTGTTACCCTACAAAGCAAAAGATTTTGGTTATCGAAATTCTAATGTGCTACTCTAGATTAATATGATGTTTAAATTTTTATTTTTTTTACTTTTTTTTATTTTTAATTTTCTAATTTACAAGTTCTAAGCTGGGGCTTAATGCTCGAATCATAGACTGATCACTATGCAAAGAGGCAAAACCCTCATTGCTTACAAGTGTAGTCTTGAGATGCTGTAACTTATAATGAATGGTTATAGTTGAAGTGATTTGACTCTTTTCAGGTCTTCCATTTTGATAGATGAAAGGCTCATGCCTTTAAACAATGTGAATTTTTTATCAATCTGACTTTTCAGATGAGTAGAAGAAGTAGTCATTATATAATTAACTTGGTAGTGAAATTGGGAGTAGGCATTGTAAAGTGAATCATCCACTTTTCATTTATTTGATTCTATGTAGTCATGCGATTGCATACATATCTATTAACATGTGGAAGAAGAGTACTTTTGAATAAGAACAATATACCGAAAATAGTAATTTATAGATTTTTTGTAGTAATTTATTACCATAATATATCAGTATTGTGATATCATGTCAAACATCATCTATGATGTTTAGTAGATATCTATAGTAACACTGTCCACCACTTTTGTATGAACCTTGTCATTATTTGGATATCTATTGGTTGATAGTTGTTTTGAGTACCATCAGCCTTATCCTTTCATTAATTATATTGCTTCTTAAACTATGCAATTTATAAAATTGCGATATGATTGTATACACACACAGATATGAATCCATGCGTGTGAGTCCATGTAAGTAGGTGTGCATGGATACGTGTGTGCTCAGGATGCATTTGTGGGCATGTGATGTGTATCCTGATCAATTAATCTTACATTCTTGATTGTTGAAATTTTATTCCACTGTAGAAGGAATAGTATTTGGTTGTGCATTTCTTAGTTTGTAAATTCCGATGACTTATTTAAAAGGAATGCTGCTGGCCCCATGTGGGACTCAGGCTCACATAGTATTAATTAATAGCTGAAGTGCTTAAGTCTTGAAAGTAGTATTTTTTCATATGATCATGATGTGAACATACTCAATTTAGTTTTTTCTATGCTCTGTTCCTATGGATTTTCCAACATCTTGAGAAAAGAATAGAAACATTGGCTTTCATTAAGTAGCCTTATGAGTTCATCTGTATGCATTTTATGGCAAGTTGAATTCTTGTCTTCCACAACAGGTAGAAGAGTGACCAGATGCAAATGGAATTCTCATTATCTGTTGCATGGCAAATTGCTTCGGAATAAAAGTTATACTTTCAAGGATGCGGCTCACACTCCCTGTAGATCTTATGTTGTTGCATCTGTGGTGCGTATATTTCTCCTTTTTTCTTCATTTTTATTTTTGATAGTTTCATCTTCTCTTATAACACACACATGCGTGCACACACACATATAGAATTATTGTAATCATGTGCATATTGTTGAAGCTGAGTGTACAAATGCAAGTTAGTGAAGATAATTATTTTGTTCTCATCAGATCTCAACTTATGTATTTATACCAAGATGTCTTTGATTATTGTCCTGTAATTTGGTGAAGCTTAAGTCTTAGATCGGGTCGGTATGGGGAAAAATAAATGCGAAAATTCATTTTTTAAATGCGAAATTCATTCTGTTATATTTACTTTTCACATATGCCAAAGTCACTAGAAGAAATTCTGTACATGGTCAAGTTCTATACATGGCATTTGGAACACTGTGAACCACTTACGGAGATGGCCCATTTTCATTTTCCTTTAGGTTCGAAGACAGGCGAAGAAGAGAGATACTGTGATTCCTGATCCTGATTACAGAATTCCAGTTGTTTTGTTGGGTAAGGTAGTCAGCATTTTTCTAACTTCCCTATAATTGGAAATGATTGATCCTAATGGGACATTACGTGCTTATGCTTTTTCTCATGCATGTTGATTCCCAGATTTTTGTAGAATTAATTGCCTTGGGAAGCCTTCTTTTAGCATTAATCGAATAGCTCATGGAAATCCACATCTGGCCAATTATGTGCACTATGCAGTAACTTGAGAGATATAATAAATTCCCATACAATCTTCACACTGTCCAGGACATGACACCTTTTCCACGTAATTGGTGTACAGTTGCAACAGTTTGGCTTATTTAATATAGAGGACTCGTTAACCTTTTTGGTAATGACAAAATGTCCAAGGATTCATAATTCATCTGCACGTGACTTCTACTTAAAGGAATAGTTCCCCACAACAAATTTAGAGGATAACTCAATATTTTGCTCATGAACTTTATGGTTTATCTACTTTCACATTGGTATTATGCATGATACCTGCAAGCAAGCAGCACATGCGGATGAATAGGCAGGCACCTCATGCTTGGGTGGCACAGAACAAGGAAGATGTGGGGGACAGAGACAAGAAGGAAACCCCATATTTCAAACATTTTTGAGAATTTTAAAATTCTTTTGTATGTAATGTTTATTTAGTGTTTGATTGGAGGTCTAGGAAGAAGTACAGCATGGCCATTTGAGTCCAACTTCCTTTCCTATGGAGCCATATGTGGACTATGCCACTCATGCAGCTCCTAGACCAGCAAGCAATTAGTTTTCTCTATAATCCCTCCTTTAAAATGGGGAAATGATGTATTCATCCTTTACCCGAGGGAAATTTTGGCTCTTGGGTAAGGCGGGCTTTGTAGCGAGCAAACCATCTTGGGTTTCTAGCCTCAGGCAGGCCACCTAGAGGTAGGTGAGGTCTCTGGGCTGTACTGTTCCTAGAGGTGTCCCTAGATGTCTGAGGTGGGCAAGCCCTTTAAAAGATTGGTTTTATTGCTATCTCCAAAGAACAAAAAATTATAATCCGTTTTGCCATGATTGAGGCTTAGATAGAGCGAGGTCTTTGACTTTGTTTGGAACTGTTAATTAACATCCTCGTATGATTGGGGATACTGGTTTAGAAGACCTTTCGTGAAGTCTGGTGTTTCTCTAACTGTTGTTCTAGATACACACTGACTTCATGCTTTCCAAACTTCTTGTAGAAGGTTTTATTAAGAGATGACATTAACTTCTCATTTGGTTTAAGGAAGTGCGCATCTCATTTTAGCAAGACTTACATGGAAAATTGGAAATATTTTTTGATGGGTCAATCACAAATGATGGTGTTGACATCTTTATTCTATTTAAAAGACTGTGAAGCAGCTCATTCTTGCTATCATCCTACCAATATCTTAGTTGAGCAAGTTAGATGTGTTCCTTTTCTTTGACTGAACGTTGAGTTTTTCTTTGACGGAACTTCATAACCTAAATGATTAAATCATTTAGACCATATCCTAGAAATACTAAAGTTACAGTACGCTCATGCTCTGTGGATTATTTAATACTTACTGTTTTAAATGCTTCTCCTAAAATGTTATTTATGTCACATCTCATGGACCTTCTCGAGCTGAATTTTGGCAGAACTTATGCAATTGTTTGAATAGAATGATATGTTTGAAAATGACCAGTGGGTGTCAGTGGCTCATCTATTTTGCTTGCTTCATTCCATTGTAAAACTACTTTTATGCTGGTATCTTTAATTAGTCATCATAATTTTGGAAACAGGTTTAGCGGGTGGATTAGCATATCAAGATAATTTATTGCTCGCAGCTCCAGTAGGCCTTCTTGGATTGCTTCTATTGTTCCAGGCAGGTAGATTCGCATTAAAATACCTAGTACTGAGGGCATTCTACCCTGAAGACAGTGGCTTGTGGCTTTATTATCTATAAAGAGACCTATGTGCATTGCATGGAAATAGAAATAAAATCTGTGCAAAAAGTTATTATTCTTTACGATATGGTGCAGTAAAAATATTTGAATCCAATAAACAAAAATGAGACAGAGCGAATGGAAATAGAAGAAAATGAAACAGGGGTTTGCTATTTGTGCTCATGTTTTTCCATATGGATCATGCTCATGGGTGGGTTTATAATGAGATTACTGAATATGTTTTTGATAATTCCCAGCCATGTTTATGTTCAAACAGAGAAAGAAGATGGGAGCAGTAGCAATCTAAAAGTATATTGAAGATATATCTGACATATGGTTCCTTTATTACAAGTTGACAGTCATGTGTATTTCTCTTGTATTTTGACCGAATGATGTCAAAGAACTAAATGAGACAACTTTTGTCAGGTACTTCATATAACGTTATAAATTTACAAGAGAATTCTTGGAGGCATGTTTGTCTTTATCAAAATTGGAGTATGATTATCTATGGGGAAAAACTGGAGTATGAACCCTACTTTTTGTATGCTATGCCCATCCCAATTCTATTCCGAAAGAATAAAAAAATCTAAGGTAAAATTTCTAGGTTGCTCGAGATTAAGGGACGTGGTAATAGCACCTCATAAATTGTGAGGGCAATTGTCAAGTTTGGAAGTATTGGACTGTGTTGGATATTCTTCTGGATTATCATGGTGATTATATGCCATTCCTCCCTCCCACCCTCGCTCCCACCTCCCCCCCCCCCTCTCTCTCTCTCT